CAACATATGCCTAACAAACCTCATCGTTGGGGTTATAAAATGTTTCTTTTAGCTGGTGGTGAAAGTGGCATTTGTTATGATTTTCTTTTCTATGTAGGTAAATCTGATATTGATAGACAGGAACAAGATTTTTGTACAAAAGTTGTTCTTGAATTATGTGAAACTGTACCACGTTCTATCAACCATAAACTTTTTTTTGATAACTATTTTACAACAATTAAACTTCAAGTTGAGTTGAAAAAGTTAGGTATTTATTCTGTAGGTACGGTAAGAGCTAATCGCTTACCGGGTTTGATCATGAAAGGCGAAAAAGATTTATCAAAAGAAGGTAAAGGATCAATGGATCATCGTGTTGCTGAAGTTGATGGTGTTGAATTATGTGCAGAAAGGTGGTATGACAATAAGGCTGTTAATTGTTTGTCTACATTGTACGGTTGTCAACCATCCGACTCAGTTGAACGATGGTCGTCAAAAGAAAAAAATCACATACAAGTTGTACGACCAAATATTGTAAAAGCATATAACCAGCACATGGGTGGTGTTGATTTGATTGACATGTTAGTTTCATTGTATCGAATTAATGATCGTTCAAAAAAGTACTATACTAAAATTATCTTTCATCTTATCGATCTATCAATTGTAAATGCTTGGCTAGTGTACCGCCGCCATTGTTCACAACTTGACTTGAAAAAGAGACACCATGTCTTTATTATCATTTCGTATAAGTGTTGCTGAATCTATGCTTAAATCTGCACCACCTACACCTTCAACAAAACGTGGTCGTCCATCTTTAGATTCAACATCAAATGAAAATAATCAAACAACAACATCACGAGCTGTACCAAATTCAATTCCACCATCAAGTGTTCGACTCGACAAGTTTGATCATTGGCCTATTCATACTTCAAAAGGTCGTTGTCGAAATTTTGGCTGTATTGGTTATACAAGAATTTGTTGTTCGAAATACCAACTACGCCTATGCTTATATGGAAAAAGTAACTGTTTCAAAGACTATTATCATTGATAACATATATTGTCAAAAGTGATTTTTTGTTGTTGTTCTTTAGTTCTATTTGTCTTTTCTTTGTTAAAGTTGTTTTTTCTTGAAATAAGATTAGAAATAAACGAAAAAGCACGAAATAGTGCGTTTTGACGATCGAAAGCAAAAAAATAATTTTTTCAAATTTTTGACCCTTTATAATAATTGGGCAGTAATAATGGCAACAGCCGGCTGTTGCCAAATGGCAACATAGAGTTATTAAATAAAAATTAATATTTTTGTTTCGAAGATTATATTTTTGTTATACTTACGATACATCAATAAGAAATATGTGCAAAAAGAATTTTTTGCTATTCGCCTTCTAGGAGCCGGCCGTAAAGGGTTAAAAAATACTTTTCATATTTAAATCGAACCATTAGAATAATAATGTGTCGGTCATGTTTTGTAAAAGAGAATACCAAAGAAGTTTCTTAGACTGTTCTTTTTCCATCAATTTTGATTTATTTCGACTAAATATTTCGATGTTTTTTAAGTATCATATATTTTCCGTCGCAAGATGGACTATAAGTATGCTGGTATTATTCTTTGATAACAAAAAAGGTAATATGATTCAATTCCAAAATACACAATAATGTCCTTATATCAACATAAAGAGGTTTATACGTAGTTATATACGTAAATATGTCTATAGCTACGCCACGTAATAATAAAGAGAAAAAGATTTCTGTATATGCGACAATGTATAATTTTAAGCCTAACCGCATCTATTTGTAATAGGCACGATAAAGATTGTTTCTCATTTAAAAACATAAGTGCATTCACATCATTTAATATATATAGAGTAACGGGAACTCATCTCGTATATAAATCAGCAATTTCACATATTTAGTCACACTTTTCATTTTCATAATTTCACATCGTACTCATCACAAAAAGAACATTACTTTAAAACTGTAAGCATCTTACTAATATATTGTTGTTTTCTAAAATATACAATCTATTTTATTTTAATTTTAGTTTTTACCTATCAAACTTGTTGTATTTTGCATAGTAATGGTGTTTTTCAAAGCAATTGATCTGGTTGATGCCAGTGAAAAATATGGTGATGGTCAAAAAATGATAGTAGCTAACGAAGTCATTGAAAAAGGTGAAAAGATATGGTGGTGTACATGTGGTGATGATGATGAAATAATGTCACGTGATGAAATATTAGCATTATGTGTTGATTATCCACATTTGAAAAATTTTCTCTGCTGGTATTCATATATGATTGCTGACGATATGTATCTCATACCAAAGACATATTGCGAACAACGAAATAATGATGAATGCTGTTTATTCAATCATTCGTGTGAACCAAACTGTGGTATGTATTAATTTCATTTATTCAATCTATCTGATTGTAATTTGTTGTTGATTATTTTAGGTTTTGATATATCAGATTCAAATAATATCGTTGCATTCAGAACAATTCAACCTGGTGAAGAATTGACATATGATTATCATTTTCTTGAGACTGAACCATCACTCATCCGTGGTATGCAATGCAAATGTGAAACAAAAACATGCGTCGGTATTCTCAATTTTGATCGATATCGTGATCCTGAATTTCAAGACAAATATTTCATGTACATGAGTCCCTATTTACAACAGCGTGTACGAGAATTAAAATCAAAATGGTATTCAGGAAAATGTTTTACACGTACAACAGCTGATCCAAAAGTTCGTTCATTACATGCTCTTGAATGGATCAGAGCTGGTGAAATAGTGGCAAAATTTTCTGGTCCAATAATGGTTGAAAATCATTTTATTCAACATTCTGATGTGCCAACATGCTTTGTTAATCATAAAAAAGAAGTAATTGCTTTTGGTGATTTGCCTTGTGAGGCTGAAATTACATTAAATTATCATGGAACATTGTTATAATATTAGCCTGGTATTAGTTTTAACTAAACCTGGCTGATCCAATATATATATTCTTCTTCTTGCTAATATGCAGCTTTGTGCCGAATAAAAAAAATGGCATTATTGCTGGAAAAAAAATTTGCTTTTCTTGATTTACTCGACATTATTGGGAATGGGTGTTGGAATACAAATTAAACGTCGATACGATGATAATTGAAACTCAATATGAAACAATGATATATTTATTACAGCAATGTAAAACAACAACAAACAAATGAATAAGACACTTAATACGCACAATACTTTATTGTATACCGTATTTTTATGAATTTATTAATAAAGGGATGAAGTAAAAAATAATTTTATTTGTTGAATAGTGAATAATGGTCTTCAGTTTGGATAGTACCAGTTTTAGATCACCTGATTAAAATAAATTTGATTTTATAGTCGAAAGCTTTGATATGCTTAACTATGTTGTACAAAGGTTGAAAAGTCGAGTAAGTTGAAGAATGATAATGAATCATTTTTATGCTTGTACACACATCATGATTCTTTTTGATTGCACTAAATATTTTTTAATCGTCGTTCTTGAAAATATATTTATTTTGTGAACTTAATTGCTCGATAATCAAATCATATCATACATAAGAAAAGTAATTTCAAGTTAGATGTAAATCATATCATCCATCTACAAGACAGTTTTCTCCATGATTGTGTATGGCCGAGAACGAATGACTAACTTGAAAGAGAAAAGTGCATGGAGGAAAGAAGAACGAATTCTTTTTAAAAAACAGAACGTCTACTTTCATTTTACTCAGTCGATTGAACTAGGAACTAAAAAACTTATGTTATTTCATTGAAATTTCTCAAAAGTCGATTTCTCATAGTAAATTTCAGACACTCGCAACTTGTAACTATGAACCACAATGTAGTAGAGCGTACGGAATACATAAGCGTTATTCATCATCCAGGTAGTTTCTTCAAAATTGGTCATTGAGAACAATTTTAAGTTAAAAAGTAAAAAGTAGACGATGTCCCACGCTAAATTTAAATACAGCGTCTACTGTTATCAATGATTCGTTTCGTCCTTGATGTCTATTGGAAATAATAAACTACATGCACGACTTTAAGTGAAGGAAAACATCTGTTCTAATTGGCATAATACTTACGCTAAACCGCTATGAATAAATACTATTGTGATATTCTATGAGTTACAGTGTGACCAACAAACGTCTGTTCTTCGTGAATGGACATATTACATTAAAGAAGCACATATTTTATCTAATGGTTATAATTATTGTATAGAAATGCATCATATGTACAAGAAGAAGTTAAAGTATTAATAATTCAACAATCTCTCGTAATATTTTGTCATTTGCTATAACCTAATCTTGTAAGATTTTATGAGAATAAGTTACACGATTCTATTTTTCAATGTATTTTCTATATAAGAATGAATTAAAATTTTGAGATTAAAACTATAGCCTATGCAATAGACATTCTATCGCGACGCACTAAAGCATCATTTCTCATCATTATGGAAGATCAATGGTAATATAAATAAAAGCAAGAAATAACAAAAGATTAATGAAGCACAATTGTTACTTTAATTTTGATACTATTTCTACTAGCAAATATCAGCTTTACATCTGATGATTCATTGTATCTTCTTTTCTGGTGTGTAAATAATGTAGAGAAAAATATTTCTAGTCATCGTTTGACCACATTTGAAGAGGTATCTGCACTAGGTAAATCCTTAACTTCGGTTACGTTCAATGTGTATGATACGTACTCAATCAACCGCGCTTTAGTTCACAGAGAAATAGAAGAAAATAATGCGCTCGCTGTATTCCTAATTCACAAACAATGAAAGATCCGCAATCAACGGAGGGATGTCCGAGTTCCATCCAGCCCGGAATTTTGCAAAATCCACGAGAATTATAGTCTTTACAACGAGAATTCTCCTTCTCACACAGAAATTCTGATAAACTACGTAACTTTCTCCGCGAATGAAGAATTTCTCGTGAGAATTTCTACGAGAAATCTCCCGCACGAGAATTTCACTTCTATCAAAGGAATAGAGAATATCCCCGAGACATTCCGCAAGAGAATTTCACTTACACATCGGAATTTTGAGAATTACCACAAGAATTTTAGTCTCTTGCACACGAATTTTACTTCTATCAGAGGAATTGAGCATATCCCGAAGACACTCTCCACGAGAATTTTACGTTCACATGGAAATTCTGAGAATTACCACAAGAATTTTAGTCTGTTACACGAGAAATTTACTCTCTAGCACGAGAGTTTTACTTCTATCAAAGGAATTGAGAATATATCGCACATATTCTCCACCAGAATTTTATTGTCAAACGGCAAATTTGAGAATTACCACCAGAATTTTAGTCTGTCACACGAGAAATTTACTCTCTTACACGAGCATTTCAGTTTCTTGCACGAGAATTCTACTTCTGACGCAGGAAATTTAGAATATATCGCAGATATTCTCCACGACATCTTTACTTTCACACCGCAATTGTGAGAACTACCACGAGAATTTTACTTCCATCAAACGAAATTGAGCATATCCCGAAGACATTCTGCACGAGAATTTTACTTTCATACGGGAATTTTGAGAATTACCACGAGAATTTTAGTCTATTACACGAGAAATTTAGTCTCCTGCGCGAGAGTTTTACTTCTATCAAAGGAATTGAGAATATATCGCACATATTCTCCACCAGAATTTTATTGTCAAACGGCAAATTTGAGAATTACCACCAGAATTTTAGTCTGTCACACGAGAAATTTACTCTCTTACACGAGCATTTCAGTTTCTTGCACGAGAATTCTACTTCTGACGCAGGAAATTTAGAATATATCGCAGATATTCTCCACGACATCTTTACTTTCACACCGCAATTGTGAGAACTACCACGAGAATTTTACTTCCATCAAACGAAATTGAGCATATCCCGAAGATATTCTGCACGAGAATTTTACTTTCATACGGGAATTTTGAGAATTACCACGAGAATTTTAGTCTATTACACGAGAAATTTAGTCTCCTGCGCGAGAGTTTTACTTCTATCACAGGAGTTGAGGATATCCCGGATACATTCTCCACGAGAAGTTTACTTTGACACTGGAATTATGACAATTACCACGATAGTTTTAGTCTCTTGCACGAGAAATTTACTTCTGTCGCGGGAAATTTAGAATATATCGAAGATATTCTCCACCAGATATTTACTTTCACAGTGGAATTTTGAGAATTACCACGAGCATTTTATTCTGTTACACGAGAATTTTACTTCTATCAAACGAAATTGAGAATATCCCGAAGACATTCTGCAGGAGAATTTTACTGTCACAGCGGAATTTTGAGAATTGCCGCGAGAGTTTTAGTTTGTTACACGAGAATTTTAGTGTCTTGCACGAGAATATTACTTCTGTCGCACGAAAATGAGAATATATCGGAGATATTCTCCACCAGATTTTTATTTTCACATGGAAATTCTAAGAATTACCACGAGAATTTTAGTGTCTCACACGAGAATTTTAGTGTCTTGCACGAGAATTTTACTTCTGTCGCAGGAAATTGAGAATATATCGGAGATATTCTCCAGGGGATTTTTATTCTTATACGGGAATTTTGAGAATTACGACGAGAATTCTAATCTGTTACACCAAATTTTTAGTCTCCTGCACGAGAATTTCACTTCTATCACAGGAGTTGAGCATATTCCGGAGACGCTCTCCACGAGATTTTTACTCTCACATCGGAATTTTGAGACTTACCACTAGAATTTTAGTCTGTTACACGAGAAATTTAATCTCTTGCGCGAGAATTTTACTTCTATCACAGGAGTTGAGAATATCCCGGATACATTGTGCACGAGAATTTTACTTTCACACGGGAATTTTCAGAATTACCACGAGAAATTTAGTCTCTTGCGCGAGAGTTTTACTTCTGTCGCAGGAAAATGAGAATATATCGGAGATATTCTCCACGAGATTTTTATTCCCACACGGGAATTTTGAGAATTACCACGAGAATTTTAGCCTGTTGCACGAGAATTCTAGTCTCTTGCTGACTCGTGGAAATTCTCGTGGGAATGCATCCGGGAAATTCTCAACTCCTGTGATAGAGATAAAACTCTCGCGCAACATACTAAATTTCTCGTGGTAATTCTGAAAATTCCCGTGTGAAAGTAAAACTCTCTTGCAGAATGTCTTCGGGATATTCTGAATTTCCTTTCCTAGAAGTAAAATTCTCGTGGTAATTCTCAAAATTCCGATGTGAAAGTGAAAATCTCGTGGAGAATATCTGCGATATATTCTGAATTCCCTGCGATAGAAGTAAAAGTCTCGGGCAAGAGACTAAAATTTTCGTGCGACAAACTAAAATTCTCGTGCGAGACGCTGAAATTCTCATGGTAATTCTCAAAAATCCGCTGTGAAAGTAAAAATCTCGTGAAGATTATCTCCAATATATTCTAAATTTCCTGCGAGACGGTAAAACCCTCGCAGTAAATCTCAGAATTCCCATGTGAACGTGTAGAGTGTCTCCGGAATGTCTCGTGTAGAGTGTTCCCGGGAAATTCTCACTTCCTTTGATAGAAGTAAAATTTTCGTGTAACAGACTGAAATTCTCGTGGTAATTCTCAAAATTGCCGTATGAGAATATAAATCTCGTGGAGAATATCTGCGATATATTCTCAATTTCCTGCGACAGAAGTAAAATTCTCGTGCAAGAGACTAAAACTATCGTGGTAATTCTCCGTATTCCGGTGTCAAAGTAAAATTCAAGTGCAGAATGTATTCGGGATATTCTCAAATCCTGTGTGAGAAGTAAAACTCTCGCACAAGAGACTGAATTAATGTAACCTGCTAATTCGCGCGTGAAAGTAAGAGTCTCGTGCTGCATGTTTTCGGGGAATTCTCATTTTCGTTTGATAGAAGTAAAATTCTTGTGTAACAGAATAAAATTCTCGTGGTAATTCTCAAAATTCCGCTGT